CACACACACACACACACACACACACACACACACACACACACACACACTACCTGCTTCATAAAACATACATTGTTCTAAGAGGTAAGATCTCATTTTACAAAAGGAAGAGTTTTCGGTTTTCAATGACTTTCATCTAAGCATTCAAAGATAGACCCTACTCAACTCTGCTGAATGCCCCTCACCACTCTTCTATACCCTGTGTCCCTCATCCATGCTTACTTGTCCATTGCCTCCAAGTTCACTCTTCTCTTTTTCTTTCAAGTGAATAACCGTTCTATGTTGCCACCAATGACTGTGTGCTTCAGTAGTTTAAAGATTTCAGTGTGTTTGTGTCTGAAACAGATAAAGTATACTGTTATCATCATTTCCATACATGCTGTGGCACTCCTAATGCTTATATTTCAAGAGTTTACAATTAACTTTAAGTTTCTTTCTCTTCATTTTCTTCAAGGCAATTACAGAGTAAATAATCCTGGACTCCAACTTCTGTGAGCACTCCTTTCCAGGGAAAAAAACCTAAGACAGCATTAAGTCACTTTTAAACGGACAACAGAAGTCTCAGAGAATCATTCTGAACTTAGCATGAGTCTCTGATTAATGGAACTACCAAATATTTGCCATAATTAGGGAATGAGTTTAGCATGTATCTTGGTTATCTTATTTTTAGAGCCAAAAAGAGACAAAATCACCTTCAAAATAAACCTAGATATTATTTTCACTTTCACCTTTAGAAATTCTGCTGTTTCCTTAACAAAGGCTTTCCAAAAGAGTGGTAAAATCAATGTATCTGTTTGGGTTCTGTGCCTCTTTCAAGGGTTAGAGATACTTGTGAACAGCCAAGTATAATTTCTTTCTTCAAAATAGATTTTCATTGCTGTTGCTGTATGATCCAGAACACAATGTACTTGAAACATCATTTGACCACTGTCTGAAAAAGACACTGTGAAGTTCAAGACTACTTCTTAGTTTTGGCCCTAATACTGAGCCAAGGGAAATGAAACACCCAGGTGGTTTCTATATGAACTAATCCCCAAAATGCTTTGCTTTAGTTGACTGGCAGCAGCAGCTACAGAAGCAGCTTTTGATAAGGGCTTCTCATTTTTGATAAGTGATAAAGTCATGCTTCCTTTTTCAAGCTACAGTTTATCATCTGAAACAGAAACTAATAATTTGTAATAAAATTCAGGTCTCAACCTACACTCAACTTTCTACTTTACTGGTAGAAATTTGGACAGTAATCAACCAATAATGAGAATGGCTTTCTAAAAATTTATTTAATTATTTATTTTTAACACATTTCTTTTTAAATTTTGAGTTCCAAATTCTTTCCCTTCATCACACCCCTCCCCCATCCACGGAGAAGGCAAACAATATACCAATTATACATATAAAATCATGAAAAATGTATTTCCATATTAGCCAATGACAAAAAAAAAGCTGAAAGAAAGGGAGAGAGAAAATTATATTTCAATTTGCACTCTGAGTTCATCAGTTCTTTCTTTGGAGGTAAATAACACATTTTCATCATGTATCCTTTGGAATTGTCTTAGATCATTGTATTGATCAGAGTAACTAAGTCTTTCACAGTTGATCATCATTACAATGTTGCTGTTATATGCATGATTCATTTTGAATCAGTTCACACAGGTCTTGCCATGTTTTTCTGACACCACCTCCCCTCATCATTTCTTATAGCACAGTAGTATTTCATCACAACCATATGCCACAACTTGTTCTGTCATTCCCCAATTGATGAGCATCTCCCTCAATTTCCAGTTCTTTGCTAATACAAAAAGAGCTGCCATAAATGTTTTTTGCACATATAGGTCTTTTTCCTTTTTCCTTGATCTGGATGTAGATCTAGCCGTGATATTTCTGGGTCAGAGTATGCATAGTTTGATAGCCTTTTGGGTATAGTTCCAAATTATTCTTCCTAATGGTTAGACCAGTTCACAACTCTACCAGAAGTATATTAGTACACCTATTTTCCCTCATATCCTCCAGTATTTGTCATTTCTGATAGATGTGAGGGGGTACCTCACAGTTGTTTTCATTTGCCTTTCTCTAATCAAAATGATTTAGAGCATTTCTCCATATGATTATAGATACTTCAATTTCGTCTTCTGAAAAATGCCTGTTTATATCCTTTAACCACTTATCAATTGGGAAATGGCTCTTATGTTTACAAATTTGACTCAGTTTTCCACGTATTTGAGATATAAGACCTTTATCAGAGAAAAGCTGTATTTTTTTATATTACTTCATTGTCTATGTTACTTTTTAGTAAAATATAGTTTCCCTGATTATTTCTTTTAATTAGGTCTCTTTTTGTTTTTTGCTGTGTTTGAAATCATGATTGCTACCTTTGCCTTTTTTACTTCAGCTGAATGAAGCATAATAGATGCTGCTCCAGCCCTGTATTTTAACCTATCTGTGTCTTTCTGTTTCAAGTGTGTCTCTTGCAAATAATGTATTGTTGGATTCTGGTTTCTAATTCATTCTGCTATCTGTTTCTATCTTATGTTTCACATTTATAGTTATTGTGTATTTCCCTCCATCCTATTTTCTTCTGTTTATCCTTCTCTCTTTTTATCCTGCCCCTCCTCAAAAGTCTATTTTGCTTCTGACCACTGCCTCCTTTAATCTACTTTCTCTCTTATTATTCCTGCCCCCATATCTCTTATCCTCTCCCTCTCCTATTTAGCCTTTACACCCAACTATACCCAACTCAGTGTGAATACATATTTGTCCCTCTTTGAACCAATTCTGATGAGAATAAGGTTCAAGCATTGCCTACCACCTGCCCCCATCTTCCCCTCCACTGAAAAAGCTCTTCATTGCATGCCTCTTTTATATGAGAAAAATATAACCTCATTCTATCTCTCCTGTCCCCCTTCTCCCAGTGCATCCTTCTTTCTTACCCCTTCATTTTTTTTGTGTGTCAACCTAATTAACTCACATCCATGCCCTCTAAGTAAATTCCTTCTAACTGCCCTAGTACTATTATAAAGTTCTTAGGAGTTGCATGTATCATCTTCCCACATAGGAATGTAAACAGTTTAACTTTATTAAATCTTCCTTGTTTCCCTTTTCATGTTTCTCCTGAGTCTTGTGTGTGAATATCAAATTTTCTATTCATTTTGATCTTTTCAACAGGAATGCTTTAAAATCCTCTGTTTCATTAAATATCCATTTTTCCCCCTGAAGGATTATATTCAGTTTTGCTGAATAGGTTATTCTTGGCTGTAATCTTAGCTCCTTTGCCTTTTGGAATATCATATTCTAAGTCTTCTGCTCCTTTAATGTGGAAATTGCTAACTCTTCTGTGATCCTGACTGTGAATCAATGACATTTGAATTATTTCTTTCTGGCTGCTTGCAATATTTTCTCCTTAACCTGCGAGCTCTAAAATTTGGCTGACACATTCCCAGGAACCTTCATTTTAGGTGATTAGTGGATCCTTTCAATTTCTATTTTACCCTCTGGATCTAAGATACTAGTGAAGTTTTCTTTCATAATTTCTTGAAATATGATTTCTAAGTTCTTTTTTTGATCATGGCTTTCCAGTGGTCCAATAATTCTTAAATAATTTCTCCTCTATTTCAAGGTCAGTTGTTTTTCCAATGAGATATTTCCCATTTTCTTCTATCTTTTCATTCTTTTTACTTTGTTTTATTGTTTCTTGCTATCTCGTGGGGTCATTAGCTTTGACTTGCTCAATTCTAATTTTTCATATTCTTTTTTAAAAATAGTATTTAATTTTTTCCCCAATTACATGTCAAGACAATTTTTAGCATTCATTTTTACAAGATTTTTAGTTTTAGATTTTTCTCCCTTCCTTTCTTCCCTGCCCTCTTCCAAAAATGGCAGGCATTTTGAGATAGGTTATATATGTGCTATCATGTAAAACATATTTCCATATTAGTCAAGATGTGAAAGAAGAAATGGATCAAAAGGGGAAGAAAAACACAAAAAAGAATAAAGTAAGTGAAAAAAATATTCTTCAATCTATATTCAGAGTCCATCAGTTCTTTATCTGGATGTGGATAACGTTTTCCTTCATGAATCCTTTGTACTTCTCATGGATCATTGTGTTGCTGAGAAGAACTGAGTCATTCAAAGCTAATTATCATTACAGTGTTGCTGATACTGTGTACAATGTTTTCCTGGTTCTGCTCATTTCACTTTGTATCAGTTCAACACATCTTTCCAGATTTTTCTGAAATATGCCTTTTCATCATTTTTTATCTTACAATAATATTCCATTACAATCATGTACCACAGTTGGTTCAGCCATTCCCCAATTGATGGACATCTCCTCAGTTTCCAATATTTTGCCACCACAAAAAGGATGCTTTAAATATTTTTGCACATGTAGGTTCTTTTTCCTTTTTTATGACCTCTTTGGGGTACAGACCTAGTAGTGGTATTGCTAGATCAAAAGATATGCACAGTTTGATAGCCCTTTGGGCATAGTTCCAAATTGTTCTCCAGAATGGTTGGATCAGTTCATAGCTCTACCAACAGTGCATGTGTCCCAATTTTCCCACATCCTCTCCAACATTTTTCATTTTCCTTTTTTTGTTGTATTAGCCAATCTGATAGGTGTGAGGTGGTACTTTAAAATTCTTTTGATTTGTATTTCTCTAATCAAAAGTGACTTAGAACACTTCTTCATAGGGCTATGATACCTTTGGTTTTTTCATGTGAAAACTGCCTGTTCATATCCTTTGAATTCTTATAAATTTGACTCAGTTCTCTCTATATTTGATAAATGCGGCCTTTATCAGAGCCATTTGCTGTAAAGATTGTTTCCCAGCTTTCTGTTTTCCTTCCAATCTTGGCTATATTTGGTTTTGTTTGTATAAAAACTGTTTAACTTAATATAATCAAAATTATCTGTTTTATATTTTGTAATGCTCTCTATTTCTTGTTTGGTCATGAGTTCTTCCCCTCCCCATAGATCTGACAGATAGAATATTCTTTGCTCTTCTAATTTGGTTATGGTGTCACTCTTTATGTCTAAATCATGTGCCCATTTTGACCTTATTTTGGTATATGGTGTGAGATGTTGGTCTATACCTAGTTTCTTCCAGTTTTCACAGAAGTTTTTTTGTCAAATAGTAAGTTCTTATCCCAAAGGATGGGATCTTTGGATTTATCAAACACTAGGTTACTATGTCATTGACTATTGTGTCTTGTGTACCTAATCTATTCCACTGATCTACAACTCTTTTTCTTAACCAGTATCAAATAGTTTTGATGATTACTGCTTTATAATGTAGTTTGAGATCTGGTATTGCTAGGTCACCTTCTTTTATATATTTTTTCATTAATTCCCTTGATATTCTTTACCTTTTGTTTTCCAGATGAATTTTGTTGTTATTTTTTATAGCTCTATCAAATAATTTTTTGGTATTTTGATTGGTATGGCACTGAATAAGTATATTAGTTTAGGCAGAATTGTCATTTTTATTATATTAGCTCGGCCTACCTACGAGCAATTGATATTTTTCCACTTGTTTAGATCTGACTTTGTTGGTGTGAAAAGTGTTTTGTAATAGTGTTTATATAGTTCCTGGGTTTGTCTTGGCAGGTAGACTCTTGGTGACGCCATAAGCAAATTAGAAGAGCAAAGAATATTCTATCTGTCAGATCTATGGGGAGGGGAAGAACTCATGACCAAACAAGAGATAGAGAGCATTACAAAATATAAAACAAATAATTTTGATTATATTAAGTTAAATAGCTTTTGTCCAAACAAAACCAAGTATAGTCAAGATTAGAAGGAAAACAGAAAGCTGGGAAACAATCTTTACAGCAAATGGCTCTGGTAAAGGCCTCATTTCTCAAATATAGAGAGAACTGAGTCAAATTTATAAGAACGCAAGCCATTCTCCAATTAATAAATGGTTAAAGAACATGAATAGGCAGTTTTCATATGAAGAAACCAAAGGTATCTATAGTGCTATGAAGAAGTACTCTAAGTCACTTTTGATTAGAGAAATGCAAATTAAAGAACTCTGAGGTACCACCTCATACTTAATCAGATTAGCTAATGTGACAAAAAAAGGAAAATGAAAAATGTTGGAGAGGATGTGGGAAAATTGGGACACTAATGCACTGTTGGTAGAGTTATGACTGATCCAACCATTCTGGAGAACAATTTGGACTATGTCCAAAGGGCTATCAAACTGTGCCTACTCTTCAATCCAGCAATACCACTACTACATCTGTATTCCAAAGAGTGAAAAAAAAAAGGGGGGGGTGTGTGGCGGGAGAGAAAGGACCTATTTGTATAAAAATGCTTACAGCAACTCCTTTTGTGGTGGCAAAGAATTGGAAATTGAGAGCATGCTCATCAATTGAGGAATAGCTAAACAGGTTGTAGCATGTGATTGTAAAGGAATACTATTATGCTATAGGAAATTATGAGCAGGCTGATTTTAGAAAAACTTGGAAAGAATTATATAAAATGATACAAAGAGAACTAGGAGAACATTGTACACAGTAAAAGCAATGTTGCTATGATGATCAACTGTGAATGACTTAACTCTTCTCAGCAATATACTGATCCAAGACACTTCCAAAGGATTCATGATGAAAAATGCTATCCATATCCAGAGAAAGAACCAATAGAGTCTGAATGCAAATTGAAGCATACTATTTTTCACTTTATTTTTCCCATTTTTTCTTTTGGTCTGTGTCTTCTTTCACAACATGACTAATATGGAAATATGTTTTTCATGATTGCACGTATACAATATTTATCAAATTGCTTACTGTCTCAGAGAGGGAGGATTTTAGTGAGGGAAGTAGAAAATCTGGAACTCAAAATTTTAAGAAGATGAATGTTAAAAATTGTCTTTACATGTAAATGGGGAAAAAATAAAATATAATTTTAAAAATCATCTATACTTTTTTTTTTTGCCTCTAAATCCCTGCCTTCCACTCACTTCTCAACCTGTTGCATTCTAGATGTTGAGTCTACCACTTGATTGAAACTGATTTCTCCAAGGTTATGAATCATTAATAAATTCCTAAATCTGATGACCTTTTCTCAGACCTCATCCTACTTTGCCTCTCTAGAGCTTTTGGTATTGTTAACTATTCCTACTTCCTGGAATACTCTTTCCTCCTATGACTTTTGAGACATCTCTCTCCTGGTTCTTCACCTACCTGTCTGACTACTCTTAATATTTGTTCAGCATTATCATCAATTTATAACCCCCACCTTAACAAAACCTAAGATTCTATCCTGGGCCCCCTCTTTCTCTTTTCTCACTATACTTTCTCTCCCATCTAACTCCTCTAAGATTACCTTCCATTTACTCAGTATTTATCTTGTATATTATATATAATGTATGTGTATGTGTGTGTGTGTGTGTGTGTGTGTGTGTGTGTGTGTGTAATGTTCTCCCCTATTATAGTGTAATCTCTTGAGGGCAAGTACTTCTTTTTTTTCTTTTCTTTTTTTTCTTTTATTCTTTTATAATTTTTTTTTTATACTCAAGGCTTAGCACAGTGTCTGGCATATAATAAGTGCTTTGAAATACTTATTGACTAATTGTTTCAGTGTTGAAGGACTTGAGCTTAGAGATAATGAAGCAATACCTTATCAGTCTGACAGGCCTATTCCTAGAACCCAAATCAGAAATAGTTGCCTAGTCAGTAAGTTGTAAAAACAGAATGAAAATCTATCTCATCTATCCTTTTCCCCCTCCTCTCCTTTAAGTATGTCTGTTGGGACTCAACAGCTCTCCCTTGGAATTTTAGCAACTTCTAGTTGCAATGGCAGCTATGAACACATGACCATGAATAAGGGAAACTTTAATGATTTTTTATAAATTGATATAAATAAGGCCCAAGCTGCACCTTTATGAATGTGCCTTACAGGAAAATCTTTCCACTAGAAATCTGGTCATCTTAAAATTGATGCTGTACAAAAGGAATTTTCTGAAATGTCTACTTTAGGCAAGGACTGAAAAATGTTTGTATCCTGGGTAGCAAAATATTAGAATATAAAGTATTTTCTAAACAAGAATTTAGGGAACTTTCAGCAATCCCTAGAGTTTACATTTTGAACCAAATAAAACATACCACGTCTCTCATTCTATCAGCAGAATATATTTTAAAAGTTCACTCAGACTTCCAGAAGCCAAGATGGTAGAGTAAGCAGGAAATCACCTGAACTCTCCCATGTTTGCCTCCAAAAAACTATAAAATAAGCACCCCAAAATGAATTCTGTAATGGCAGAACAAGCAAAAAAGACAGGGTAAAACAATCCTCTAGCCCAAGAACTAGGAAAGATCTGTTTCACTCATGTAAAAGGGGAGCCTAGTCCAGGAGAAAGAGAGGGAGAAAAATTTGGATCTCAAAATTTTGTAAAAATGAATGGTAAAAATTGTCTTTACTTAAAATTGGGGAAAAAAATACTATTTAAAAAAAAAGTTTACTCATCAATGTCAAACAATATCATAAATGCAGTAGGGTTCTCATACCTAATCAACAAAAGCCAATTTGATCCAAAATGTACTTGAAATAATACTGAGAAAGGCTTTTCCGCATGTGTTGGCCACACATGCTCACTATGGTGTGTGAATTTGAGAGAGAATAATACCCCAGGTTCGTGGTGGAAATGCTTTGTTGCTACTTTTTTTTAAACTCTGCTATTTCATTAAATATATTTGCTTCAGGGATAAAGGGATAGCCTGCATTCCTGAATTAAGACAAAAGTATAGTAGAGAATAAATAATTTCTGAAGTACAAAATAAACATTTTCATTTCTTAACCACTTAAATTTGTAAGAAAATAAACGAAAACATCTCTACCTTTTTTTCCCAACAAGGAAAGGGCCAAGCAGCAGAAGAATGTTTCCTTAGAAAAAGTTGAAAGTCAGTCAGTAAATGACTAAAGCTTCTTTAAAATGCTCTGGTTGGTGCTTTTAGAATGTCTGGAAGCCAGCAACATCAGTTCAGTTACTAGGAGGCTTCTTCGATCCTCTTGGGACGGTGTTGTAGCTGAAGAAGCCAGTTAGCTGTTTGGACAATGTGGTGGACTACAGGTGTCACAGAGTTTCAGTTCATATTTATTGATAACACTGTTGCCTTATTTCAAATCACTACCTCGTTAAGACGGTTGGACCTGCAGCTTGAAACCTGCCTTCTCTAACAAAGTAACTGTGTTGCAGGGAGAGATTAGAAAGTAGGAGGGGAAGGAAGGCAGGAGGAGGAGCTCTCTTTGGCCAAACTTCTGAAAACCTCGTAGCTGCACCAAACTTCCTGGACCCCAATGTTCTAGAGTTGTGACTTAAATTAACACACCAATCAAGCCCAGTCTTCTGGAGTGTAATCATATTTATTTTACTACAAGTAGTGAGGATAATAGAAGCTAAATATTTTTGTGGGATCCTAGGCTGTAGAGCTGGTAGGGTTCTCAGAGTTCAACTAATACAAAGGAAAATCTAAAGAGAGCACTGATAGAGAAGGAGATAGGGAAGGCGACACCTGAGTTAAGCCCTAAAAGAAGATAAGGATTCTGAGATGTACTGATGAAAAGATAGTGTATTCAAGGATAAGGAACAGTTTGTCCCAATTCATGGAGGTGGGAAATGGTTAAAAGTCCAGATTAGCAAGAACGTTGAGTTTGGGAAAATAATAATAATAATAATTAAATGGCAAAAGTACTACTTGCCCCTAAAAACAAAATATTGAGTTTGAGCAGGGTTATAGTATGAAACATTATGTTGGCAGCCAGATTGTGAGAATCTTAAATGCTACATTAAGGAGCTCATATTTTATCCTGAGGAAGCAGGGAAGATTTTTGAGCAGAGGAATTAGACTTGTGATTTAGGAAGATTACTCCAGCAGCTTTGTGAAAGATAGATTGAAACATGAAGGATCTAGCAACAGTAGACCAATTAGGTTATTGCAGTAATCCAGGAGAAAGGGAGGCTGATGACAGCCAGAACAGAGGTCACGGTTTTATTAATGTAGAGCATGGGACTGAAGCTAGATATGTTGTAGAGGTGGAATCAACAAGGTTTGACAAATAATTGCAGATGGTGGGGCTGAAAAGAGGGAGGAGTGAGTGATGACACTGAGATAACAAAACAGGGCACCTAAGAAGCTGGTGGTGCTTTCAAGAGGAACAGAGGATTTGGGGGAATGACCGACTTAGCTGAGGAGATGATGAATTCTGCTTCAGAAGTGGTGAATTTGGAAAAAAAAAAAACAAAACACAAAAAGGGGCAGCTAGGTGGCACAGTGGATAGAGCGCCAGCCCTGGATTCAGGAGGACCTGAGTTCAAATCCAGCCTCAGATACATAACACTTACTAGCTGTGTGACCCTGGGCAAGTCACTTAACCTCACTGCCTAGTCAAAAAAAAAAGCGAGAGGTGGTGAATTTGAGATGCTAATAGAGCGTGCAGAAGAGGTATCTAGTAGGCAGTGATGCATTTATTAGTAAGAGAGGAAGAGAGAAGCAGCAGAGAGAGAGAGATGGAAAGGCAGAGAGAGACAGGGATGACTCAGAAGTAATAAGAGAAGTGGATAGAGAAACAGGACATAGCAGTTCTGTGAAACAGAGGAAAATGTGTTCCCTCAAAAGTGTTCTTCTGAGAAACAGGAGAGAAAGAGCAAAGGGGAAAAAGCTTTTTCTTTTCATTTTCAAACAACTCACTATGCTCCCGTTTCTGAGGCAGATCTCCTCTATTTCATCAAGTCTTGGATTCCTGGGTTGCATTGTCACTAGATGCAGCCGTTGGCCCTCTCCCCCGCCCTTCCTCCCCTGCCCTTCCTCCCCCTACCTCTCCCTCTTCTTCCCCGCTTCCTCCCCTCCCCTTCCCATGGTGCTGGGGGTGCTGCCCTGCCCTCTCAGAACCTCCTTCTGGTCTGGGGAAGCCTGCTCGTGGCATGGTATGGAGGGGGAGTGCCATCTAGAGAGTTTCTTTCTGGAACCAAAAATTTCTGAGAAAGATTGCTCCACATGTTTGCACTTGCTTAGACAGCAGCTTTTTCTCGGGGTCCCTTGTGTCCCTGTCGTCCCTGTCATGCGTCTGTTTTTTAACGTTGTAAAGAGCGTTTTGTGGAAGAAAAGAATTACAAGCTATCTCTCTCTCTTGGGAGAGGAGAATAGAAGTTGATCCAGGACTTTGAGGTTTACAGAGAACTTTAGAGTCACCAACGAATTAGCAAACTGAAGTGCTAAGGATACAAAGAGATGCCCTGTTCTCAATGAGCATATGTGTTTTATGGTAGATAGAAAGCTGGCCTTGGAAGGGAGACTTGGTATGAATCTTTAACACTTGTGTAACCCTAGGCAGGTCACTTAACCCTTTAGTGTTCTAGGCAACTCTCAAAGACACAGGTTCTTCATTTTTTGTGGCTGAGTGTGTTATGGATACTTTTGGCAATCTGGTAAAGCCTATGGGCTTCTGGTGCCAAGATGGCAAAGTGAGGAAGAAACTCCCTAAAGCCCTCCCAAATTCCTCTCCAAACAACTTTGTTTTTTTGTTTGTTCGTTTTTTTGTTTGTTTGTTTTTAGGCAATTGGGGTTAAGTGACTTGCCCAGGGTCACACAACTAGTAAGTGCCAAGTGTTTGGTCTGAGGCCGGATTTGAACTCAGGTCCTCCTGACTTCAGGGCCAGTGCTCTATCCACTGCACCACCTAGCTGCCCCCCCAAACAACTTTGGAAAATGCTTCAGAACCAATTTAGGAGTGGGGAAAGCAACTTAATAGCCCAGCAGCAAAGGTCTGTGTTGCTAGGGTGGGAGGAAAGCACAGTCAGTGAGCAGCAGCAGGTCACACCCCAGAGAGACTGAGCAAGCTACCAGTGAGGCCCTACCCCTACAGCTCCGAGGCATATCAACAATGCAGTAAGACTCCCAATCCTCGCCTAGGGCAAAGCAGCATGAGACTCTACCCTCAGGATAACCCATCAAGGAGGCCCTGCACCCAGTATAAGCCATCAGGCAGTAACCCCCTCTCCCCTGCAAGCCAGCAGCTAGGCCCTGAGGCCCAGTGAAAGCCAGTCACAAAGCACCAAGCTCTGGCACAAGAAGCTTGAGACAGTGCAGGAGGAGTGCTTGAGATGTATAATTGTGAGAAAACTTGCATCAATTTTCAGATCTGACTGAGTTTCTGGTCAGTATAACTTAGGTCCTTAGTTAAGGGTCTCTAAACAGCAAGTTGGGACAGCTAAATGGCACAGTGATTAGACTGGAGTCAGGAAGACTCATCTTTGTGAGTTAAAATCTGTCCTCAGATACTTAGCTGTGTGACCCTGGGCAAATCACTTAATCCTTTTTGCTTTAGTTTCCTGATCTGTAAAATTAATTGGAGAAGGAAATGGCAAACTACTCCAATATCTTTGCCAAGAAAAATCCAAATGGGGTCACAAAGGGTCAAACATGACTGAAAAGTGACTTACAACAAGGAGCAAGTAGAGGCAGTCCAGCTTCCCAGCCATGTTCAAACAATGCAGCAAGGTCCTCTCACAATTCCCACAATTGAATAGTTTTATCACAAGGCAGAAATTGGACTAGACCATAATTGAATGGAAAGGGAACTGAGCTTGCTCCAGAATTTAGTTGCAAGTTAGAGTCAGTGTGGCTCACCCAATCCCCAATACCACCTCCTGTTTTAATTCCCTCATATGTATGGATTAGTGGCCTCATTTCTGTTTGAGTTTGACACCCCGACATATACCATCTGTCTCCCATCTTCTCGACAGAAGAGTTGGTGGAAATACTTCACTGTGAAAGAAAAGAGACCGTTCATCCTTGATGGTATCCTAATAAACCTGCCCCCAACCTCAAGAGTCTAATTTCCTTATGGGCCTCATTGAACAGTAGGCATGTCCTGATTTAACCACATCACAGTCTCAATCATAGGCCTCACTGACCTGCATGCCCACTGCCCCAGAGAGCTACTGCCCCCAGACTCAATATAGCCACTGCCCCTACCTAGCCACTGCCCCCAGATCCAATTCACATATTTGAACAGGTGTGAATTTGTACTCAACTACAATCACATCATCCATTTAGCCCAAGACAGGACCACAATAGCTAGCCAATCAGAAATCAGCATGATAAGGATGTTTGACCACTGAACCATAGAAGGGACCCCTCCCCTATTATCTAATCCCTTAACAAACCCTACCTGCCTTTTTAATATTCATAATTTCTGTTGTGTAATCAACATCATTACACTATAAATTGGTCTGTGTTGTCTTACTAAGTTGCTGGTTCCTCTTGGAACTTAGCCTGCTTCATGACAGGAATCAATCTCAATAAATGCCTATACTTGGATTAGAGGTAGTCTGACTCTGAATTCTTTGAGATGGTTCTGCCACAACACACCATGAAACCACCGCAGTTTTTAGTGTCAGGCAGTCTCTGACCTCTGACCCTCCCTCCACATGGAGCAGAGTCTCTGATTTGGACCCCTTCTAATCCAAAGGTAAGTCTGTCTTTTTCCCTTCTCTTAGCTGGGAAATCCTTCAAGCACGTAGGAAGGCTTGACTAGATCGTCTGGGCCCTACCAGCCTGGCAAATTCCCTCAAGACAGAGGATGCTCTGGGAATTTCAAAGGGAGTTCTTTTTGAACTTATTTTTTTTTTTCTCATCCTTCTGGTGGGACACCATTGAAGAGGTAAGCGTGGCTATAGGGGGGATTTCCTTGGGCCTACTGGCACTCAGTCCCAGCTCCCATCACACAGGACTACTAAACTGCAATAGAGCCTGGCCTCAATATAATCTAGAGGACCAAGAAGTGAAGTTTCACTATCTGTGCTTTCTGTTTGTGTTTGTCTGCTCTGTGTCTGTGTGAAGATCTCTTAAGTCTGCTACCTCGTAAGATTTAAAATACAGCCAGTCAGAAAAGAAAAACTTTTGATGGCTGTATCTGAACTGGAAAATTTGATGGTCTCTTAAAGAAAGGTTGTTGGCAAAAAAAAAAAAACAACAAACCTCTCTCTCTCTCTTTCTCTCTCTTTCCTTCCTTGGACTCTGGCCAAGTTCTGGAGGTGGAGGACCAGATGGAAAAAAGGAGGAAATTACTCCCCTCAGATCTATCTAAAAGAAAAAGGATCACTTCACTGATCAAAGAGAGACAGGTTTCAAAACTGCACATTGGAATAGGACTAGCACTTATCCTTTCCTGGGTCACAGAAAGAGAAAAGGTTTGTGTGAGTGGGGACACAACCAAAGGTAATTGAGTATCATTTGGAATATAGATCCAGGTAATTGAATTCATTCTGGTTACATTTTAGGTGAAATGTTATCTCTCCTAATTTGATGTTTAAGATAATTATATTATTTGGCACTAAGAGAAATTGGGAAAATGCATAGATCTGAAAAAAAGAGACACCTCAGAGATGAAGCTTTGAGCTCTCCAATATGGAGGGGAGGGGACCAGGTACTACTGGACCTTTTCAGGAGTCCCATTCACCTTGACTGGCAGGTTCAAAACTCCCATTCTCACAGAAGTTTTTAAGGAGTAAACACAAGTGAAGTTTATTTGAGTAAAAGTTTAAAAAAAAAAAACCTCTTAAGATCCTTCTCCCTGTAGTCCCAGCTCTGACCAGGCTAAGACTACAGTGAAAAGTTAGAATGGCTAAAAACATTTTAGCAGATTCTGTTAACTGCTCTCATCCCAGATTAGATTAAGGAAAGAGAATGCTGAAGAATGGTAGGAAATTTGAGTGACCCTCCCCAGCTTGGTGAAAGGAAGGAGGGGGGAGGTGAACAGCTACATCGGGGACCCCATTGGCAACAGCCCTGAGCCCCTGGGCACCCTGAAGCCCACCCCTCTAAGCAAGCAGATGAACCTCTCCTATCAAAGCCCCAAGTCCTTGCTCCCACACCACTGGAACCCTAAGCTTCTGCTCCAAGTTCCCCAAAGCCATGCAACCCCTATGAGGAAGTTCTCCAGGGACCCTCCTCCTTATCCACCAAATCCCCTTCTTAACATCTTCACCACCTTTAATTCAGGTGCCAGACTCTACAACCTCCCGGCAATCCTTGGTCCTTAGTCTGTCCCACACAAGGAGCAGTGCCGTCTTTCTGCCTCCTTCCCAAATCTGTGACTCAACCACCCCCACAATCAGGCTCTGCAACCATGGGGAAAGGAGAAAGGAGGATAGGCCAGGGCACTAAGAGGTAAAGGATCACTTCACTGATCAAAGAGAGGCAGGTTTCAAGTCTGCACCTTGGAATAGGACTAGCACTTAACCCTTTCCTGGGTCACAGAAAGAGAAAAGGCTTGTGTGAATGGGGACACAACCAAACGTAATTGAGTATCATTTAGAATATAGATCCTATCAATAATTTTTATATGTGATAATTTGGAAATGCAGTTAATGTCATCTGAAGTTTACTGTTTGTGTTATTGTATTTCTAAATTGTTTTGTAAAACTTGAGTGAACATTGAGAGGCAGAAATGTGTTAGACAAAGAAATTTTAAATCTGAATTTTATTGTTAACTAAAAGACAGTGGAAAAAAAATTACATAAAACCAGTTACATTATTTTATTAAGCCCTACTAACCTTGTCTTATGTTTTGTAACTGCCATTTAGGAAATTGGGTATTTTCACCTTTGCCTACAGTTAAGAGGAAGTTACAGCCAAAACATTTTGGTTCTCACTTATGAAAATTTTAAGATTGTTAAGTTATTTGTGGTTATTGTTATAATGTTAAAACCTAAAATTGGTCCAACAGCAGCTCTAAGGGTAGATGGGATGGATACTCCCGTACTCCCATCCCTTATGAAGATGGCCAAGGTAGCCTCTGAGATAGGGCTATAGGGGGGCCCCATGTGCCAGCTAACATATACTGGCATCTTAAAAATAAAATATGGGAATCCCAAAAGACATCCTTGCAAGGAAAAAAAAATCAGTTAGGGCAAAACAAATTAAATTAAAATTTAAAATAGGGGACTTGCTATGCAGAAAATATGTGGTTTTTATCAGTTCAGAGGAAGAATATCATGGAGTAGACAGGCAGCCTCTTCTCTGGGGTCTCTGCTGATTCTCCTTATTCTGTAAACTTGCCAGATCCCCGGAAACCATCTGGGCAACATCATCAACCCAGAGGGGAGGGAGGAGAAGCTTGTTTGGGTTATGTAGTTCCTAAATAATGAACTTGGCTTGCTCAGAATTTGCAAGTTTATATATAATACAGAAATAATTTCTAATGATTTGTCTTTACACCAAGATAAATTTAAACTTGAAAAGGAAGGAAAAACAAGAAAAGGATGTTAAATGAAATTTCTTATGTATGTAAGTCATGGTAAATTTTTATTGCTTATTGCAACTCTATAAAAGTAAAAATAATTGTATCTAGTCCTAGATATTGTATCTAGTCTTGTCATTTGAAGTAAAAAGCCCTTGGGATCACAACTAATTTTATTTTGAGTTTGAATTCAGTTATAGTTGTCTGCATTAAATCAGTATTTGAGAGCAATGCCACAAGCTACTCAGAGGGAACGTGATCCTGCTACAGGTGGAGGTTTGTTTCTGGGAAAAGCCAAGAGGTTAATTTAAGCCTCAATCTAACCTGGCTCGATTTCACCATTGTTTTCCTTTGAAAAGGAATGTTTCCCACCTATGGGAAACTATGGCTATGAAGTGAAATTGAAAACTGTGACTCTTACATAAATTTAAACAGAGCTAAGGATGTTTTATTCTGTCATATCTGGCATAATCATATCCTGCTTTTTCCTTTTATAGCAAGTTTCTATAATCAGAGCAAGTGGTCAGTAAAAGATATGAGGACAATGTAAGTATGTGATATCTTGCTGTTTTCAGTCTGAATGTGTAGTCATTCCACATCTCAAACAACTGGGTAAATTAGTACTTGGGCTTGTCATCTGCCTGCCTGCATAGTCAAGTGAAAGATTAAATCCCTGGAATAGATCATTCTTTCTGAATGATATAGGAACAATTAGACAAAAGGAAAAGAAGTTTGTGAAACAAAGGTTAAAACACAGTGTTAATCATTGTTCCATAGACTAAGGCTGCAATACATCTGAGCTACTATAATAAAATGTGTGTTTAAGATCTGAGCTATTCAGCCTAAAATTATATTCCTTTCTAAATCTTAAACAACTTAGTAAATGGATATTAAGCCTAGTCATCTGCCTGTTACTATATATATATGTGTGTGTGTATATATATATATATATATATATATATATATAAAGATAGATAGATAGATACAAATATAGATATAGGTATATCTGTATGAAATAAAGTCCTTAAATGTTTCAAAATAATGTAAGAATAATTGGGTATTGGTACAACTGATTGAGGGACCTAGTGATTATTCTATTAATAAACTAAATCAGAAACATCTTCAGTTTGGTTTGGGAAAAAGAATTTCAGTGCAATCAATTTTCTTAAAGGACAAATATGTTTTATTATAAACAACTTATTGATATGCACTGTTTTGGAATTAATTATTTAAAATGTCCTCCCAAGTGTTTTATTGGCGTAAAGCTAGCCTCTTATAAGCAAATTCATTTGTATAACTATTGAACCCAGGGGTAGGAAGCTTCTATCTGCAAAAATATTGTTACTTATATTTCCTCAATAGCATCTGATCCCCCCCAAAGGAATTGGAATCAGAGTGGGAATTTTTGGGAAAGTACCATAATCAGATAATCCTGTTTGTCAAAAGTAAATAATAGTATCCTGGGGCTCTTGGTTTCTTTCTCCTTAAAGGCCCTGCATATTGAATTTTCCTGTTAGATTTGTGTATTCCAGACCACAGGCCATTCACCTACAGTTGGTAGCAAACAGTGGTTCCTGGCCCAATGCCACCTGTCATCCCCTGGATTTGGCCTATGCTCAGTTCCAGTCAACTCTCCCTGGGACCCATCGAGACAGAGACAGCTCTATGCCCCTTGCCAGCCTGAAGAAGCTACAGAAGCAGAGACCTTCATCCCTTTTCCCATATGATTTTGGGCCCCAGTTCTTTGAGAGAGAAATGATGGAATGCTAATGAAGCTGCCCCCAACCTCAATAGTCTAACTTCATTATGGGCCCCACTGAGCAGTAAGTATGTCCTGATTTAACCATGCAATCTAGCTTTAACCACATCACAAGCTCCCAAACTCAATCACAGGCCTCACTGAACACCATGCCCACTGCCCCAGAAAGCCACTGCCCCCAGACTCAATATAGCCACTGCCCCTACCTATCCACTGCCCCCAGATCCAATTCACCTATTTGAACAGGTGTGAGCTTGTACTCAACTACAATCACATCATCCATTTAGCCCAAGACAGGACCACAATACCTAATTATCCATCTTGACCAGACAGGACCACAATAGCTAGTCAATCAGAAATCAGCATGATGAGGATATTTGATCACTGAACCATAGAAGGGACCCCTCCCCTATTATCTAATCCCTTAGCAAACCCCTCCTGCTTTTTTAATATTCATAATTTCTGTTGTATAATCAGCATCGTTACCCTATAAATTTGCCTGTCTTGTCTTATTAAGTTGATGGCTCTTCTTGGAACTTAGCTTGCTTCATGACAGGCATCAATTTCAATAAATGCCTATATTTGGATTAGAGGTGATCTGCCTCTGAATTCTTTGAGACAGTTCTGCACAACACACTATGAAACCACAAAAATCCTGACCTTCTTCTCCCAGCTTTATACTTGAAATCATCTCAATCCCTGAATCTCTCCTTCTATGTGCCTGTCTCAGAGGAAGAGATATTCCTTCACCCTATAAATACTAAGCCCTCTTTTGTTTCCTTGATTTCATTCCCACTCATCTCTACTAGAATCTTGGTTCTTTGCTTATCCTATCTTCCTCCCTAATTTTTAATCTCTCCTTAACCACTGTCTCTTACTCTAAGGTTTAAAAAACATGCTGAGATCCCACCCATATTTATGTAACGAAGGGGTGTTTTTGATCTGGGAATCGCTGATCAACTAAATCCCACAAACCCATATGAAGATATTACATAATATAAGGGGTGGGTAACAAAGAAAATGAGATCTTAAGACTTTTTTCCTTCTGTAGACTTGAATCTTTCAAGAGGATAAACCAAGAGTGACCTACCGTAGATTGTAAAAGAAATATAAAAGGAGTAATGTAGGAATTTCCTCAATCAAAGTTGATGGAATTATGAGGTAGCTAGCCATTGGCTAAATGAGGGATCAACCTTGCACATGATGACCTTTAAAAATTGAGCAAGCTAGCTCTGAAATCAGGAGAAGAAAAGCTAATAGTTAAGAAAGTTATCTCTGGTAGCTAAGAAAAGAACCAGCTGTGAAGGAAGAATCCAGCTTTTGAGAGGGAGTTGCTCTTTGCCTTTTCCCTTGCACCTCTTCCAGAGAACAGCAGGGGGTAGTAGGGGATTTCTTTAGGAATATGATAGTATGATCTTTTAAGTCCATTGTCCATTCATACTTCCAGGCATTTCCTTTATGGTAAGAGGAAATAAATATCTATCCTATACTTGATATCTACTATTTTGTACAATAAAGACCTTTCTAGAAGAGGCTCTGCTAATTTCCTTTTAGAAAGGCCCTAGATATATGAGTCTCATTGAAATTTTGCTTTAGATATTTTTCTCTGGACACCGGGTTGGAGATGTGAGTCAAAATGTATGACAAAAACCCTGAATTCCTTCTGGGTCACAGACAATCTTTTTAAATAATTCTCTTTGACTCACTCCTTCCATCCTTAAATGCTCTCAGGATGACTTTGTTGAATTTGGTTTCCAGCCAAGCTTTCCTTATATTATTTTATTATTATATTTATTACACACAATAATATTATATAACATTATTATGTTTATTATATATTTTAATATTATTATATTTATATTATATTAACTAATACAGTTTTATGAGATAATCCTATTCATAATTGTCAATCATCCCTCTCCATGAATCTTTGGGAATGGGTTGATATTATGAACATCTGAACTTAACTCAGAGACAAAAGGAAATATAGTTTAGGCAATTTGACAGCATATTGGGGGTGATACAGAATAGAATAAGTTACAAAATGGAATCAGAATCAATTTGATTTTCTCAGGTCCAAGTCTCCTAGCCTGTGCTACCAGCATACAAATACCCAAATTATTGCACTGTGTAGTGCATCTGATATATAATGTAAAATCCTTGATTAGAAGTTTTGAAAATTTTCTGTTTCTAAAGAGTGTAAATATTGATTTCCTAGTCAATTATAACCATGGCTATAAGATGTTACTTAAGTCTATTAATCTCATTAATTCTCTTAATATACACTATGATTCTTCCATGTTAAGTGTATTTGTGTGTGTGTGTGTGTGTGTGTGTGTGTGTAGAAATAAACTAACTCTGGGCAAATCACTTAACCCTGTTTACCTTTGTTGGACACAGATAAAACTAACACACATACTGTTTATATTTATATACTAAGTACTTTTTTAACTACCCCTATTTACGGCCCCCATTAAGTCAAAAACCTTAAGCCATATCCTCCTCCTCCTTCCTCCTACCCAAGGTTTGTTGATGAGATTTGTTAGTTTGAGTAGAGTTGTAGTTTGTTAATGAGATTTGTCAGTGAGGTTGAGAATGAAAAATCTATGTCAGTCAATATTATGGTGACCATTTACTAAATTTTTACAGAAAGATACACATGAAACAAAACTAGTATGCTGTGATAAGAGTGATAAGAATAACAAGAATAACCAGGGACTGAGTATCTTGCTTTGTGAAAGGATGGAAAACAGAGGGAATCTTGTAATACTCCACATAGAATCAATAATGTCTGTATTTCTGCCATGTAACTGTCATGTAACTGCTATCTTTGCTCAAGGTGTGGATAATTACCTTCTCTTTCTCATTCTTTCCTCAGTTACTGTATACAGGAAAGAAAAATCAGAAAAGTTGGGGGAGAGCCAGCATAATTGAGTGCCATGAAAGTCAAGGGAGAAAAGGTTACAAAGAAAAAAGGATGGTCAACAGCGCTTGGTGGTCCTGAGAAGTCAAAGACAACAAAGAAAAGCCCATTAGAGGAGATGATCAATGATGACCTCTGAGAGAGAAGTTTTAGTTGAAGCATGAAGATAGAAGCCAGATCACAATAACTCTCTTCCCTCCCCAGGTGATTTCACCCCTATCACACCTTCAGCTATCAGCCTAATGTTGTACCTGGTACTAGGTGCTTGATAAATGTTTATTGATTTACTGATGACTTCTAAAGTTGATCTAAGGGCATCTGGTGGCACAGGGATAGAGCAATGGAGTTAGGAAAACCTGAGTTCAAACTCAACCTCAGACATTTCCTAGTTGTGTGATGCTTGGTAAGTCACTCTCAGCCTCAGTTTCCTCAACTGTAAAATGGTGATCATAATAGCACCAACCACACAGAGTTGTTGGAAGAATCATTTTTTTTAAAAGCAGTTAAGGGGCAGCTGGGTGGTGCAGTCAATAGAGCACCTGCTCTGGAGTCAGGAGAACCTGTGTTCAAATCTGGCATCAGCCACTTACTAACTGTGCAACCCTGGGCAACTCACCTAACCCCAATTGCCTCCAAAAAAAAAACCCAAACACTTAGTACAGTTCCTGGCACATAGTAGGCACTATATAAATGTTCATTCCCTTCCTTTCCCCAATTTGCAGTACCTTTTCAGTTGGTTCTAGTCATGCATTCCTCATTATTTGGTGGATATCTTTTGGTGAGTATCCTATTGATGAGGATGGGAGCTAGACCCCAAAGAGAAAAAAACCTGGACCTTCTCACATGGCCGAATCTCTGGCCTTTGCCTGAGGCTATAATCCCATCAACTGGCCTTTCATTGTGGCTATACCCAATCTCCCAATTTTGTTACCCTTGACCTAGCCTAGTCCTCCATTGTCTTACCTCCCTATGGCCCTCAGCCATTTCCAACCCTTAATCCTAGCTAGGCTCCATTCTTCCTTGGCCAGGGTCCAGGGCCTAGGCTTTCTGTTCACCCCAGTTCACTGGCCACTCCCATCCAAATCTTCCTTAGACTGCTCCTCCAGTCACCCAAACTACTTGGTCACTCCTAGATCCCTTCCACAGTTTTTCTGTATATAAGGTCCTTCTTGTCTCTATTAAAATGCTTAGATTCTTATCATCTAGCCAATAGCTCACTAACATTTAGACTCCTTAAGAGTTTGCCCAATATGACATATGTTCTAATAAACTTTGGCTGAAAGAAGGCTTGGTTCAAATTCTTTTGGGCAGGACCCACGTGTCCTTATGTTGGGGTCCTGGTGCCCCTTAACCTCTAGACCTTAACATTTGGTGGCCCATATGGGGAAACTGCCTAACCCCAAGTTCTTCTCCAGTCAAGACTGGAAGGTATGTAAGCCACCCCCCAGCTGCTTTCTTGCTCTGCACTTAGAGTTGCTCTCTAAGCACCAAGGCTTGAAGGTGCTTTTCAGGCAGACAGTTACGAGGCTGTCTACCTTCTCATAGGAGAAGAGAGTTTCACCCTTTACCCCTCACCTTTGATTTCGCCCTCCCCCACCTGGGAAAGGAAGAAGGGGGAAGGGGCAGCAGCTACAGTGTGGGCCCCCTGGCAATGGCATTGGGCCCTAAGGCAACCTTTGCCTGGAAGCATCACCCAGGTTCAGCACATCCTGCTCAAGGTAAAGAAGCTAGCCTTAGAACTTGGGTAAGCACACACCTTGATATTAACAATTTTTCTGTATTCTTTAAAAAAAAAGACACTCTGTCTTTCAATATTGTATCACCCTACAATGCTGAGTATAGTGTCTGTTATATAGTAGTGATGGGGTATTGGCCCAAGATGGGCACCCCCCCAAAAAAAGACCTTTCCTTGAACCCTACTTGAACTTTTACCTGGTCAAGGAACTTGCACTCTCCTAAGGTTATTTTTATTCCCATCAACTGGCTCTTCCTTATCCCCTATGCCCAATCTCCCAATTCTTTGTTAACCTAATTGAAGTCTAGCCCTCCATTGTCTATTATTGGTCTGATAACCACCTCCCCCCCTTACACTTCCCATCCTTGATCTTATCCAGTCCCCATTCAACCTCCCAGACACTCCCACCAACATTCTCCCAAGACCCACCCCCAGTCACCCCAGCTTACTGACCACTCCCATCAAGACACCCCTTCTCCCAGCCTCTCCTCCAGTCACCCCAAACTACTTGACCACTCTTAGATCCCTCTCACAGTCTTTCTGTATATAAGATCCATCCTGGCTGCCGTTTAGGGGCTGAGACTTCCTCATGTCTGCTCGTCCTTATGAGTGTCACAAATGTTCAGATTCCTTAAGAGTCTGGCCTATATGGCTCATCTTTAATAAACCTTGTCTTTGACTGAAAGAAGGCTTGGGTCGAATTCTTTCAAGCAGAACCCACATGTGGTGATTTTGAGGTCCTAGTACCCCTAAACCTCTAGACCTCAACAGTAGTAAGTGTCCAATAAGTATCTATAGAATGAATGTTGAAAATTCCAGTTGAAAATCACAAGTATTTCATTGTTTTATTTTAGGTAAAACAAAATATTGGGTTCATTACCTTGATTGTTGGTGGATACTCTAAAAATGTACATTTACATCATTATATGGAGTACAATGTCTTTCTACCTTCTTTAATAGTGAGATGCACTATTTAAATAAAATATTATAAAAACTTTACATGATTTTAGTCAACTTGCATCTGTTCTTTATTTACCTTATTTTTATAGAATGTCTTGTATTAACACCTTTGACAAATGGTCCGTATGTCATATTCCGTTGAACATGAAGTTCTGTCACACAATAAAATCCCAGTAATTGGATCTATGTGGCAGTTGAGGTTCCTCTCTCAAGTGCCTACCTCTATCTGTTTCCTAGCACATTAGTCTCCAGAGTGGTATGCATATACCTGAAGGGGTTTGTGAGACTATCCTTTGGGGTGCTTTGTGCAAGACCAACCAATAAGAGGAGAAGATCCTGTCCTCTTGGTGATAGAAATTTTTTGAGTGTATCTCAAATATAAGTCCAAAACTTCCTTAACCAGAGGCATTGACTGACCATATGAGGTGATCTGGGGGACAAGTATGCATTGTTATTGTTCAACTACATCCCACTCTTTGTGACTCCATGGACCATAGCATGCCAATACTGTCCATAGGGTTTTCTTGGCAAAGATACTGGAGTGGTTTGCCATTTCCTTCTCCAGTAGATTAAGGAAAACAGTTAACTGACTTGTTCAGGGTCACACAGCTAGTAAGGGTCTAAGGCTAAATTTGAACTCAGGTCTTCTTGACTCTTGACCCAGCACTCTATCCACTTAGTCTGGGTACACATAGTGGAACTAAAAGGGGAAATTTCCCCCCAAGTAGCCGAGCAGGTGCTACAGGTGTTTCTGGGTTGTGATTTATTTGCTAGGAGATGCCTGGAACAAGATGAGACAGGTGGGCTATAAAGCCAGGAGAATCTTTACTTGGCTATTACTGCTGTCCATAGCTGCCACCACCCCCACCAATGAACTTACATGCTAATAGAGAAACACAGCAGATATAAATGAATGAATAAACATGTATTAGGTGCTTACTATATGCAAAACACCGTGTTAAGTGCTGAGTATAGAAAGAGAAAAGTTAGTGTCCTAGTCCCCTGACACTATTTCTTGGCTTTGCATTTTCTCTGGTTGTTCCCCATGCCTAAAACACTTTTCCTTCCTCAGCTCTGCCTACTGACATTCCTGGCCTCCTTTAAGTCCTAAATAAAATCAAACATTTTGCAAAAGTCCTTTCCCAAGCCCTCTTAATTCTAGTGCCTTGCCTCTGTTAATTATTTCCTATTTATCCTGTATATAGCTTTGTAGATATTTGTTCACATATTGCTTCCTCCATTAGATTGTAAGCTGCTTGAGGGCAAGGACTGTCTTTTTCCTCTTTTTGTAAGCTTCTCACTTAGCACAGAGCCTGATACATAATAGGCACTTAATAAATGTTTATTGACAGGTCTTAGATTTAGAGCTTGAAGGAAGAGTTAAGGTCATCAACTCCATCCTGCTCATTTTATAGATTAGGAAACTGAGTCCTAGAGGGGTTAAGTGACTTGCCCAGTGTCCCATAGCTAGTAAGTTTCAGAGGCAGATTTGAACCCAAGTCCAATACTTAATTCACTATGCCATGATACTATTCACCTTGAAGCATCAAAAGCTATTCACTCTGGCGCTTATGACACTCTAGCTCATTGAGTAGAAAAGTGCTAGGGAAGTGCCAGAGTCTCTATGGATCTCAGAAAGTAGATTGAAGTAGAAGACACACAGTGCCCTAAAAGCTAAAAGCTTTTTAAAGAAATGAATTTTAATTAAGAGTTGTTTTTCCAGCTCCTTGTGAGGCCCCTCCAGAACTTCAGGGCGTCGTGGTAGAGTCTCTTTCCCTTATCTTGAGATAACATAAAACTTCCCCCCTATCTTGGACCATAAAACTTCCTTGTCTCCCTCATCCTGAGTCATAAAATTTCCCGTTTTCCTTATCCTGAGTCCCTATTCTGCCATCCATCTTCCTCATCCTGTGTCATGACAATCCCTCCCCTTATCTTGTAAGGTAAAACAGACTCCTGTTTCTCTGTAAGTTACTAGTTCTCTTTCCAGAGCTAGTCCGCTGCTTTTGTGTCAATAAAGCTCCCAATGATTACAGAGAAGGTCTAAGTGACCACACCTGAACCAGCTCTTCCCACTCTAAACCTCAACAAGATGACCTTCTATTCTACCTTCTAGTCCCTTACCTATCCACCGCCTGCCTTTTCCTGGGTCTCCAGGAATGAGCTACTTTCTCATCTTGGAATTGTGGTTGTATGTATGTACCCAATTAAAATCAACTCTGAGCCCATAGACTACTGACAAAATTCAGTCTCTTTGCTGAATTTGCTATATTCCACTGATCCTTAGACATGTGTCCTTGACATAATGGAGCTGCCTCTCCAGAAGAATGGACAGAATAGGTTTAACAGTTGCATCTACCTGTGATTTCACCCATGTAGGGGAGCTGTAGGTAAGGAATTTCTTCCACCAATGCAGATTAGGAAGGAAGGGAACAAGAATTTATCAAGCATTTACTCTGTACCAGGTACTATGGCACTATGTTAAGGGCACTATGCTAAGCACTGGAGATACAAATAAAAGTAAAATGAGATCATCCCTGCCCTCAAGAAGCTTACTGCCTAATGGAGGAAGACAAAACAAACAAAAAGAAG